TAACGGTATGTAATGGTATGTATGAAATGGTATGTATGTAATGATATGTATGTAATGTACGTATGTAATGTATGTAATGTATGTAATGTATGGTACGTATGTATGTATGTACGTATGTAACGTATGTAATGTATGTAATGTATGAAATGTATGTAAGGTATGGTATGGTATGGTATGGTATGGTATGGTATGGTATGGTATGTATGTAATGTATGTAATGTATGTAATGTATGTAATGTATGTAATGTATGTAATGCATGTAATGCATGTAATGTATGCAATGTATGTAATGTATGTAATGTATGTAATGCATGTAATGCATGTAATGTATGCAATGTATGTAATGTATGTAATGTAAGTAATGTATGTATGTATGTATGTATGCATGCATGTATGTATGTATGTATGTATGTAATGTATGTAATGTATGTAATGTAATGTAATGTTGTGCAATGTAATGTTATGTTATGTTATGAATGTAATGTAGTGTAATGTAATGAAATGAAATTAAATGTATGTATGTAATGTAATGTAATGTAATGTAATGTTTGCAATGTATGGTATGTATGGTATGTATGGTATGTATGGTAGCTATGTATGGTATGTATGTATGTAATGTAATGTACTGAAATGTAATGTAATGTAATGTAATGTATGAAATGTATGTAATGTATGCAATGTATGGTATGTATGTATGTGTGTATGTATGTATGTATGTATGGTAATGTAATGTAATGTAATGTAATTTAATGTAATGTAATGTAATTTAATGTAATGTAATGTAATGTAATGAATGAATGTATGTATGTATGTATCTATGTATCTATGTATGTAATGTATGTATGTATGTATGTATGTATTTGAGTATGTATGCATGTATTGTAATGTATGTATGTATGTATTTATGTATTTATGTATGTATGTATGTATGTGTGTATGTATGTATGTATGTATGTATGTATGGTATGTATGTTTTATATGTTATGTATGTTATGTATGTCATGTATGTTATGTATGTTATGCATGTTATGTATGTTATGTATGCACGCATCCATGCATGCATGCATGCATGGATGTATGTATGTATGTATGTATGTAGTATGTATATATGTATGTATGTATGTGATGTAATGTTATGTAATGTAATGCTATGTTATGTTTTGTTATGTGATGTATGCATGCATGCATGCAATGTAATGCAATGTAATGTAATGTAATGTAACGTAACGTAATGCAATGTAATGCAATGTAATGTAACGTAATGCAAGTATGTATGTATGTATGTGTGTGTATGTATGTATGTATGTATGTAATGCAATGTAGTTCAATGTAATGTAATGTAATGTAATGTAATGTAATGTATGTATGTATGTATGTGTGTATGTATGTATGTATGCATGCATGCATGTATGTATGTTTGTATTTATGTATGTATGTATGTATGTATGTGTGTATTTGTGTATTTGTGTATGTATGTATTGTAATGTATGTATGTATGTATGTTATGTTTTGTTATGTTATGTTATGTTTTGTTATGTGATGTATGCATGCATGCATGCATGCATGCAATGTAATGAGTGTGACTGACTTTTTTCAGCAAATGCATCATGAACGAAGGTTCAGGCAGACACACGACTTTAGGTGTGGTATTCTTTCTCTTTATGGTCTCTGGTGAGGTTCAAATGTGCACGTAATTCAAGGGTTGACGACGTAAGCTGTCCATGGGGTTGAACTGACCACCGAGGGCCTTGAGCCTTATCACGAATCTTGCATGAAATGTGGATGCATCATTTCACTAACTAGTTCCCCATGGGTCCCCTATTTCATGTGTTCTCCTCTCTACAGGTAGGTTGGGTTCTGCGCGTGCTTCGGCAGGCGTAGGTTTCGCTGTGGTAGGTTGGTTTAGGCGCTTCCGTCCTTCCCCCCCCCTCCGCTGGTCTTGTTCCGTGTCCGTCGGCCTCCGCTTTTCTTTTCCCTTGCCCTTTCAGGGTTTGTCCGCTTTGGGCCAGGTTTGCTCGTGTTGGTGTTCGCTCCTTCCCTCTTCTTTTGCGTTCCCCTCTTCGCGTCCTGGTTAAGTAATTTTCATCTCATTTTCATCTTCACCTCATCTTCATTTCCTTTCATTTTCATCTTCATCTCATTGTCCGGACCTTAATTTTCCCACCCTCCCGCGGGAGGGTGTGTGCGTGGAACATCTGAATAGATGTAAAGCTTCTATTTGAGCAGGGGAGTGCGGCATGATTGTGGGACCGCACTCAACGAAGCTACCACAATCATGGGATACTGGGTCTGATCAACCCAGCGTACCTGCCATTTCAACCGTCGTTTTTGCAGATTCCAAATTTCTCGTCGATGGCTACCGGCCAAGCCCAGAACCGGCATGTCGTGTTTCAAATCAATGTTCAAACATTTGACATTCATTTTACTGTCACTTCGGGGACTGTATAGTTTTTGCAACCTGTCAAGGTGGGAACGATTTGGCTTAGTTGAAAGGGAAGGGTCTGCTTCCAACTTATTGCATCTAGCTCTGGCTATGGCGATGGTAACCTTTTGATACTTTCTCGGGTCTTTTCACCGGCCCATTCCTGTCAGGTACAATTGGAGTGTTTTTTGCACGTAAGATGCATTCCACATCAGAATTCGTAAAGATTGTTCTGAGCAAGTATGTGTGTATGTGTGTATGTGTGTATGTATGTATGTATGAATGGATGGATGTATGGATGTATGTATGGAATGTATGTATGTAATGTATGTAATGTATGTAATGTAATGTAATATAATGTAATGTAATGCAATGTAATGTAATGTAATCTAATGTAATGTAATGTAGTGTAGTGTAGTGGAATGTATGTATGTATTGATGTATGTATGTATGTATGTATGTATGTAATGTAATGTAATGTAATGTAATGTAATGTATGTATGTATGTATGTATGTAGGTATGTAGGTATGTAGGTATGTAGGTATGTAGGTATGTAGGTATGTAGGTATGTAGGTATGTAGGTCTGTAGGTCTGTAGGTCTGTAGGTCTGTAGGTCTGTAGGTCTGTAGGTATGTAGGTAGGTAGGTATGTAGGTATGTAGGTATGTAGGTATGTAGGTAGGTAGGTATGTAGGTATGTAGGTAGGTAGGTAGGTAGGTATGTATGTATGTATATAAATATGTATGTATATAAATATGTATATGTATATTTTATATATTTGTATAGATGTATATTTTTATACACATGTATATGTGTGTATATGTAAATGTTTGTTTATATGAATACGTATATGTAAATATGTATATGTCTATGTCTATGTATATGTGTATACAAAAACTATATATATATAACTATATGTATATATGTGTACGAATTCATCGTTACTTCGAAAAAATGTTGGAGATCTCTCGAAACAGAAAGATGATCCACGACTGTGTGCCGGTTCATGTGTGTTTTGTGGAAGTCAGCATCTGTAGGCCAGAACCTCTGAAAAAAAGTGAAACACATCACTAATCTGTATGCCTAAGCCTTCAGTTTCCGGCCCAAGATGGTCAAAGGTCCACGTATTCATCTCAAAGACTGCATTCCCAAACTTTGCAAACCCTGACAGCAAACGACGGAATGGTTCGTTTTCGGATTAAGACTGAAAGATCATCATCAGCCGTGGCACGACAAACTCCAGTTTCATCCCGAATTCAGACATTGAGAACCTTGGAAACACGCAGCATGTTGTTCATTCTGGTATGAAAGTAGCCCATTGTTTGGTACACAATGAATAGATACCCATGACACGCAACTGGTGCTGGACCCACTCGTTGATCAGCATCAGCAGCAGATGTGCCCATTAGCGAACGCAGCACTTGGTACGGCGTCGCCACATATGTGCAAAATTCAAACCAAAACAATTATGAATAGAAAAATAAAAAAACATAGTAAAACCAATTTTTTGTACTCAATTTAAACCTTGGCCTTCATCCTTGTCATATGTGGTGACGTGGCCACATTGAAGGGATCCCATGGGTTCCCATGCGTGCGGGTGACGTGTGAAGCCGCAGGTTTTCCTCTGTTTAGATTGGCTGGTTAATTTACATCCCATGACAATTCTCTTCATTTTTGAAGAAGGGGCTAGAAGTACAGCTTATATCAATTAACGACATCTTACAATTTTTACTGTAATTTGTAGCCCTGGGATAATCCATTAGAATCCATTTCAATTCTCCATGGGTTGTTCATTCTTTTTCATTGGATTCTATGGATTCTTCATGGACTTTTTGGACTTTTTGGACCATTGGCAACGGGCCATGACTACGCAGAATTGAGGTCCGATGAGACCAAGGGATGAGGTCTGGCTGTTTCAACAGAGACATCTCCCAGCAGTTCATTTTTTCTCCAGTTTTCAACATTGTTCGTCTGATGATTTCCTATGATGATTTTACTATGAAGGGAAGTAGACATCCCATTGTTTGCCCATTGTTTGCACCTTTAGAGCTTCCAAAATCACATCGGATTCGCAGATCATCCGTGACTTCCAGCCAAGCTCATGGTCACTTGCAGCTTCGCGCCCCGGCAAAGCTCAGCAAATTTTTTGAGTGGAAGCTGATTCTCCGAAAAAAACGTATTTGAAAGTGCAGTTCCAGTTCATTATGGCCACTCAATGGGTTACATCGAAAATTACGGGGGTTCCAACCATGGTTGAAGAAGTTGGCGCCAAAACCCACGTTCGCCCACACCCAAAGAACACACCCAAACAATATCATATACTTGTCATCAGAGGATGAATGAAAGCACTGGCTATACACAGCCATTTTGACTTTAGGTTTTTTGGATTTAGGATTTTAATTTAGCGTTTAGGTTTTTAGGCTTTTTGGGTTTTTGGGTTTTAGGTTTTGGAAAGTAGAAAAACGCTAGCCCCACGCAGGGATTTGAGCATGTCAAAGGATATGCGGGACCCGATGCGGGCAAATGTGGGGTTTGCAGCGAACAAGTTATACGTATTAATATACTGCACCCAAGTAT